TTGGTGGCACAATCCCAGGCCATTTGGAAGACTGGATAGTCATTTATCCAAAATGGTGTGAGGATTCCTGCCATGGGTTGAACTAGAAGACCTCCAAGGTCCCTTCCAACCTTTGATTCTATGTTTAGTTGGGAGGGTATTTATTTTTCTCTTTCTTTCTTTCTTTCTTTCTTTCTTTCTTTCTTTCTTTCTTTCTTTCTTTCTTTCTCTCTATCTATCAATTCCATTTCTAAGGCTGCCGAGTCACTAAAGTGGGGATGTGAGGAGTTTGCCTTCTAGAGCCTTTTTATTCCCATCATCACACTAAACCAGCATTTCTCAACCTTGGTGGCTTGAAGGTGTGTGGACTTCAACTCCCAGAATTCTCCAGCCAGCGTGCTGTTTGTGAAATTCTGGGAATTGAAGTCCATACAACTTCAAGCCGCTAAGGTTGAACACTGCACTAAACAGTCCCCAAATGCTTCAACAAGTAGGCTGTGTCCCTACCTCATGATAGTGACTAGTGACATCCTGGCGTTAGCAGATCATCTCCTGTGGCTTGGTTGCAACCCCAAGCCATCCCAACTTTGCCTCTCCTGGAATAAAGAGGGTTTTGTTTTTTTTAAAGAGCTTTTTGGCAGACAGAAACCATTGATTGACAAGACTGATTTGAAAATTTTGCATAATCTGCATTATGTGGGTTTGATTAGATGCCCTTCAATAAATTTGCTATAATATGTTATGAACATTTTGTTGTTGTTTTGGAGTTTAGGATTTCTAATAAACTTTATCATAATGCTCTTAACAAAAAACAATAAAAACAAAAACACCAATCTTTACATCTACAGAGAGTTTGCTATAAGTGAGAGATAAGAAATTATTCTGAAAAAGTCTGGGGTTAAAATAAATTTTATTTCTGCACAAAATATTATTTCTTCTCCAAAGGAGAAATAGATAGAATTGTTTTTCAGTAAAGAACTATTTCTACACAATTCCAAGCATTTTATTTCCTCAGGAATATGCAATGTGTTTAGTATTCTCACGGACTCTGAAATTTCAGCTAAATTTTAAATGCTCCAATGGCACAGTAGCATTTCCTAAACCTCTCTGATGTTAACTGTAGATGATAAAAGGATTCTTTGATTTCCCCAGCCCCAGAGGATGATGGGTAAGTAAGATTTTCAGGCATGTAAATACTAATCTCAGCTAATTCTGATAAGAAGACTTCTCTTTTTTATGAGGTGCATAATGAGACAGACTTGCACTCTCACCAAAAGCCACCACAAGCTTCAAGCCTGCCCTGGTGGCCTCCACTGCTTTTGGTTTAAATGCAGATTGCCTCCAGTCAGACAAATGAAGAACCATACTCTGGAATAGACAAATGGCTCTTTGGTTTAATTTCCCCCCTTTAATTAGCCCCTTTTTAATGACCTAAGTTAATATGTGTGAAAAGGTGCAAAAACAGCATGAGTTCAGTTTTAAAAAGGAGTGTTCCTTTAATCTCATAAGTAGAAGCAAGTCACCTCTTTAGCTATCAGTAGCAGCAATTACACGGTGCTTTATTCACTGGGGATTCCTTGCAGCCTGACGAGATAGCAAAAAGACAGGAATCTGAACATACACCTGGAATTTTGCCACTCTCATATTACGTCCCATATTTTTGAAAAAAAATACTATTAGTTTATAGGCTGTTTAAGGAAAGGGTCCAAGCATTACTTACCTGGAAATGATTCAACTCAAATTTAGTGCTTTGGAATAAGTATATTTAAATTTTTAAAATTCCCCTCTCACCCCTATGGGTGGTCTCTGTCTTCCTCAATCTCACGTCCTCTACCAGAGGCCTGGGAGTTTGAGGGTTCTGT